AAATATTTGAGGTAAATCCAGACTAACAGCACATATATCAAATTTCAGATTGATTTGATTTAAAATGGCTAAGATATAAAACCATAAAAAATGTGAGTAAATACTGTGCCTATCAAGGGTTGTTATGTAATTACATGGTTTCAGTATGGTTCTTATTCATAGAAAACTATTATAAAAGATCGTTTCTACACAAATTCCTTCACCACTGGAGACTTAATATCTTAGAGATGAATATCCATGTCTATAAATGCTAAGCCACTTGAGTGAATAATTCAATCAAATTTACTTTTTATTAATCAGATGAAATCAGCTCTTTGTTAATAATGAAATTTGAAAACCTTAAAATCTTTGTTTTTGGCTGATCTTCAAATAATAAAATAAAACAAGCAGTAAAACAGATGAATCAATTTAAGACTATTTTTTTTCATTTTCTTCCTTTAAGTCATATCTCGATTTACCAACGTATGTGCTAAGACTGAACCAGAATGTTATATAAGTAACTGAGGAATTAAGGCCTCCCCCCAGCAAATCTTGAATCAGATACTTTGAAAGAAAATTATCTATAGTGATACTTACATAGTGTTTCACTGCAAACTTACAGACCAAAGCTGTTTTGTTTTAAAGTATTAAATTTCTTGATATAGTACAATATAGTTATTTTAGACTTAAAATTTAGTTATATTAGAAAAATAGATGTACATTTTCTGTTTCAAATTCTGGCCTGCACAATTATGCAAAGCATACATCCAATGCTGTTGTAAAAACTCACCATTATTTTAAAAAAAAATCACCCTCGTGGTTGTAATATATTTGAAATACAGAAAACTTGACTAACACTATCTCGGCCGTTACTGAAAAGACCATTCACACTTGGTTTACAAACTCTCAAACACAAATAACATGGAGATAATACACAAATGCCACCTTCCTGTAACTGGTCACACTACTAATGCTAGATGTTACATTTCATAACAGCCATTTCCTTAAATTGCTGATAGTAGAGTTTTAGGGGTTTTTTGTTTGTTCATTTTTTCCTGTAGAAATTTGCAGTTTTGTTTGCTTTCAAGTTGGTTCAAGTTTGGGGATAACTTTCCTTCATTCGAGTACCATCTGGACCCCATAGAAGTAGAAGAGGTACTTAGAGAAGCTCAGGGGCAGGGAATGCAATGTGTATTTGACTTTAAAAGTGCAAGTTGACCACTATAAAAAGGTCCCTCAGCAATGCCAACTGTAATTACTTATTGCTACCATTTTCTTACCCACCAATGATATTATCCATTGGATTCCTAATCTTTCCCTCTTATACAAGGTCAGACAGGTGCAAATTATTACTACTTCTTAAAAGCAGCTTAGAGGAAAAGAGAAAGATTTTAAACTTACACATGCACAGACCGACTCTCTAGCCACTGGGAATGACTGTAAGGGTCACGGTAACGGAGACTTGTTCTCCTGCCTGACCTAGCAAGACCCTCGTCACACTCTGTCTCAGAAATTGTGTGGAATGTAGGATCCAATGATGCACTTTCTTGATTATTCTCAAACCTTGTTAGTATTTGGCCACCCATGACAGAGCAGGTCCTCAGTGTACCGTAGCGTATTTGCACCTCTTAGGAAACCTGATTTCTGTCTTTAACAAGCTTAGTGTGAAAGAAAAGAACAGAATAAGTTAAAACTCTGCCATGCAACATAAACCATGGATACTATAAGGGCTTTAGAGCTTTTCCTTTTTTTTAAGTGGAGGAGAGGTGATTTTTTTTCCTAAGTACAAAGGGGAGGCGCGCCACTTGGCAGCCTTAACAGACTGTTCGTTCATAGCTGACTTTCTCTGCATTTGCCCCCCATCATGTTGAGACAGGGTTTCACTGTGCAGTTCAGGCTGACCTTAAACTCACTTTGTAGACAAAGCTGTCCAGGAACTCACAGTGATCTTCCCGCCTCAGCCTCCTCAGTGCTGGGATTGCCACCACGCCTGTCACTTTCTCTGGGTGCCCTTGATTGGGCTCAAGGTATAGATGGCATCTGTCAAGGGCCTCCCACATCCAACCAGGTGACACTGTTACATGGTGTGACTCAGCCAGGGATCTCACCTACCTGTGCTATGGTGTAGACAGTCGGCTGTGTGGTCAGATTTTTTTTCAGAAATTTTAGTGCACCAAAAATACAGTTCTGTTAAGCTTACCAAAGTGCTAAATTTGTGGAAATGGCAGGTAGCATGTTAGGCATAAAGCACTTCTCACCTCCTACTCGCCACCCCTGTGCAGCAGGCTCCTATCGAATTGGAGGTGTGAACACCTTGCTATTTCACTCTGACTCAACTTTCCGTTCTCACGTGTGAGAAGACTTGATAATACCCACCTATGCGGTTGAAACAAATCTTGAATGTTTAATAATGAGACTTGAGATGAAAACAAAACTAGGAGAGTATGTTTCTTGTACAAAAGAATTCATACTTGAATCCCCCGCCGCATAGCTAACTTACTGAGAGCATTTCCTTCATGTCTGGCACTATCTTAATTGGATCTATTAATTCACATAATAATTGGCAGTTCATGCTGTAAAGGTGGGGAGTATTTCAGACCTGAAAGTTAAGTAATTTGCCCAACATTGCACCTAGCAAATGGCAAAGACAGGTTTTGAATACAAGCAGTCTGATTCCTGCATCTGGTTATTAACTTCCAACCTATTCTGATTCTGAATGAATTCAGTACCCCTGTTGTACTGTATTTAAATAAGAGTTTACCTGAAAACCAGCGACTTTTACTGGAGGCTGTGAACTACATAAAGCAGGATATACTTGTGGAAACTAGTGCTGTAATTTCAGGGTTTTCCCTCTAACTAATGAAGGGCATTTTTTTTTTCCGCAAGAGAATTAAGCACCCCATTGTGCAAGGGTTGAAATGCTCACTGAAATCAGGATTACACCCACTTTGGCGTGCTGTGTCAAGCACTGGGGTATAAGGGAAGACTAGCAGGCTGGAGTGCGTGTTCCACATGCAGAGCTGAACCCCGGCCACATATGTGCGTTAGTTTGCGCATGGACATTCCTATCATTATGTGGATGGAGTTGGCATTGATTTGCCCAGCGTGTCACTTAGATTTAGGAAATGACAGTTCTAACCTAACTGGGCTCCTTGGCTTAATTTGGCTAAAAGGGGCCCTCAGAATTCACAACATCCCCAATCTCCAACAGCCCCCTGGTTTAGGGGGAAAGCTGGGTCCTCTGTTCTGCAGCGAGTCTCAGTTTGGGACAGAATGTTTGATGCTGCTGTGTGATCCTAATCCTGACTCGGAGGGAGGAGGGAAGCAAAGAGGTGCCTGGGATTATCTTTGGGAAAAAAAATCTAGCTTTTATTACATCACCTAAAGTGGCACAACCTGCTCCACTAATGAAATTGTGTCTTGGTTTAAAAGGGCAATTGTTAGCCCGACTTTGCGCTCACTAAAAACATTCCCCCAATCTTGTTAAGTTATTGCTCTCATTTCAGATTTTTATAGCTGTGCAGCCTAGCAGCCCTCATTTCTGTACGTTTCATTCATTTTCCTTGTATCGATGATTAATGGAGGATGTCGAATGTTAGAGTGAGCAGGCATCAGCAATTGCAAGATCATAATTAGTTTAGCTGACGAGGGCCTCTGATAGCACTTGCATCTGGATGGAAAAATTACCCTATAGGGAACTGGCTGCTCACCAGGTCTTTTTAGTGATACATTGTGAAACACCCGATGAATCAAATGCCCTTTCAATGCCAAGAAAGTGTTCCAGTCTTGAAGCCAAAATTATGTCTGCAGAAAGCTTTCCATTTGAAATGTATCAGAGTACAATTATAACCATTGTATTTTCTTGGCAGGCACAGCAGTCCGCTACAGTATGGACTCCAGTTAAATAAATTGCCCAAATTTTATGTATCCCTGAAATTTTGACTTATAGCATTTGTAATATTTAATTTATAATAAAATTAGGTTCCAGCAAGACTTTTTCCACTCCTTATCTAACATGCATATTTTATCATTAAAGGCTTTGCTTCCTAGAAAAAGGAGAGCTCTAAGCTGCAATCCGGGTTGCCTTTTTGTTTTTTTGCAGGGAGAGAATTCCATTTCCTGCCTGTTTGCATTTGCGCCTACAAACACAGCCCGACTTTTGTTTAAATGAGAAGTTTTCTGGACTCATTGCTTGATAGCAAGAATGTAACCGGCGATACTAATTACCTACTTTCAAGCATTCTTATTTTTGAATCCAAGGAGTACAGAATTCAGGCTACTAAAAGCAAGCTATAGTCCGAAATGCTTGTGATTTCCAAGTCTGAGTCAAATAAAATAAATAAATAGCCACTGATGGGACAGCGTTGTCTAGCCCAGAAGGCCCCGTGTGCGTTCTCATTAGTAATACTGTGCGCCTCCAGGCAGAATTTCCTCCTGGCCCGCCCAGCACTGGGGAATAGAGGGTGTTTCTCTTTCACATTTTAACAGTTACAGAGGAGAGTCCAGAATCCAGCGTGTGATGGTCTCTTAATACTAAGATTACATGAATGACATACAAAACAGACACAAATTGGGCTCATTTTTAAATAGTTTTTATTTTCTTGTTGGTGTTCCAAGCTTGACTGTATTTTAAAGCTCAGGTAGCATGTACCAAAATTGTGTTAAACACATCGCCTGGTTCTGTCTTTTTCACTCTTTGGTTTTGACACTTTTAAAAGGTATACTTGAAGGTTCAGCGTTTTGGAGTCATCATTAAAGGCACAAAACCCAAAGTTCAAAAAGTTACAGCCGCTCCTGTGAAAAGCCTTTGGTGTTCCCCACACCTCATCCATCACTGTAGGGTTAATTATAATGAAAATCAGTGGTGCCTATTAAACACAATTGAACCTGACCTCATTATGGGCAGTGTGGTTTTATACTGTCATTGTTGCCAGTCTACAGACAAAGCTCCTGGGTTGATTTGGTCTAACTCCACCAATCATGTGACTCACCTCTGACCTTGTGTTTCTCCCCCATTTCAGAGGCGTAGAGGCTCTGGTGTTTTCTGTGCCAATTGCCTGACCACGAAGACCTCTCTCTGGCGAAAGAATGCAAATGGTGGATATGTGTGCAACGCGTGTGGCCTCTATCAGAAGCTGCACTCGGTAAGGATTTGTCCCACCGTTCCAGGAAAATCTGTAGAGAGCCAAGCAGACCTGCTCCGCGGTGTGGTTCAGTCCCACTGCTGGCTTGGGTCGCCTGGCGCCACAGGGTACTTCAATCCAGTCACTGTGAATGTCCCTGTGATTTATGATAAAAGGGCGTCAGATGTTAGGGGCAGATACACTTGAGGTCATGAGCAATGCATTGTGCCTCTTTTGATATAAAAGAAGAAAATGATTTGGGAGAACTTTGCCTAGGAGATAATAGTTGATCTGACGGGTATGGGAATTTGGTACAGTTAATTTAGATAGGAGGGAAAACCCTCCTTAAAAGTTTCACAGTTATACCACGCTTTACACAATAAATAAATAAGTGAAAGGAGCCTCCAGGTTTGTTATAAAAATATAAGATGGGGAATAAATATTTATTTTCCTCTCTGCCTTTGGATTTGCGAGTGCTCTCCTGCCTGCTTGGCAACTGGAGGTCAGGCACTCTCCAAAGGCCAGTCCAGGACCAGGCCAGCGACTGCTCCAGTGCCTGGAAGGGGATTTGGTGGAGTCTGCATTCCTCAATGGCACAAAGGCCAGGGCAGGCTAAGCTGCAAGGTGCGCTGTGTTTTGAGCTGGAGAGCTGTTCTGACTCATTGAGGATCCACCAAATTACCTGTTTTCTAACTTTGAGTTAGAATCCTGTTGTAAAATTGGAACTGGCAAATCCCTCATCTGCATGTTACAATCCTTGTAACTTCCGGAAGGATTCTTTATAGTTTCGAAAGTTTATCTGCTGACATGAACTGACTTTAAAATAGGAAGGCCCCATTTAGTAAGCAGATCTATTCGCCTGTGCCTTTCTCATTTTGTCTGGCATTTTACCATAGCTCTTAGCATAAGCCAGTGAATAGATTACAGCCACAGGGAATACAACTTTAGACAAAACGCCCTCGTAAATGGACCATTGGAAGCAGTCTTAAAAAATGCATGCTGCCAATACTAATTGGGAGTAAACACTAAAATACTTAGTTATTAGAATGTAGCTAGTGGAAAGATCTCTACTCCCAACACCACATTCACTTTTTGTTAACCTTCACCATTTACGCACATTTACACACAAATTCCATTTAATGAGTACTAATATTAATTATTTTAATTGAATTCCAGCCAATTGTAGGCCAAGAATTAATTAAATTATTGCTCTGCCAAGTTATGATAATTTGACCATGGTGATATAAACTATTTTCTAAAATTTATTTTAATATTAATCTCTCCAGAGGCATGATATTTCCAGTTTTTAAGCCGCTACAAACCATGAAATGTGTAAAAGCTGTGCTCACACAGAATTGCAGCAAAAAGTTTATGAAAGTTTAAAAAAAGAATTAATGCACATTTCAGGTTTCTTTGTTGTATGAGAATTCAATACTACATATCCTTATAATCCTAATATAAACTTTATAAACCGGAACACTCTGGAAAAAATGAATACACATGGCATCTCCAAGCCATGTGTCATTTTCCATCTTGAAACCAGTAATTTACTTGTAAAATCAGCATGTTATCTTTCTTTTCTTCAGAATAACTTGTCGCAATGGAAATATTCCAGAAGAGATTTATATTTGCATTTTGATTAATATATAAAGCACTCCTTTGTAAAGTATATCCTTCTTCAGAATAATTCACAAATTACATATTATCTGTATTTATGTTTTAGAAATTATTTCCTGATTTCAGTACTGTTTTAGAGAAATACGATGTTAGCACACTGCAGATTCTTCTGAACTTCTAATGTTTAAATATGCATTAATTTATTAAAATTATTCTTTTGATTTTTATGAATCAAAGTGAAAGTTCTCCCTGCAAGGAAAGTTTTTATTATAGTCTTATCCATGGATTTTAGTCATGTAATATAAACACCTGTTGAACATGTACGTAAATATCAATCATGTAATGTCTATGCTAAATAAAATACTTAAGCTAAATTAAACTCAGCATTTATTGTAAGTAGGGAAGAATGACAGATTGGATATTTGAGCCAGACTACAAATGAATTTAGATTTTCAAAACAAAGCTAATGCTTCCCCCTCTTTAGGAGTAAAATCTTCCATAGTGAATATGTAAATGTCACTAAAAGAAGAGAAACAGAAGAGGAAAAAATCCTTCTGATGTGGCTTTATTTGATATGTTTCCTTTGTCTTTGATTGTTTGTGCTCTGATACGAATACTTTATGTTAACATTTGTAGCTCCTTAAAGAGATGCACGCATCAGTTTAAACTGCCATAACAAAACCGTAGACTGGATGCCTCAAAGCCACAAACAGTATCTTCCCATGGTGCCGGAAGCCGGAAGCCCCAGGTGCCAGATGGCTGGGGATTCTGTAGAGACTTCTTCCTGGCTTACAAAGCTACCTTCTTGTTGGGTGGAGAGAGATCTCTCTTTTCATCTTAAAAGGGCACAATCTGGCTGGACTGGGGCTCCACCTCTCTGACCTTCGGTAACCCCTAATTACCTCCTAAAGTCTGTTTCTAGACACACGCACTTTCATGTTAAAACTTCAACATAGGAACGGAAGGGGGCGCCATTTACTCCACCGAGGTGTGTATCTGTCTCCCCTTTCTTCTTGTCCTCATTTTAGTGCGTGAGTCGAAATTCAAAACTATTTTAGTAAAATCATAGTTTTTCAAGGGACTTTCTATGGTGCACCCACCAAATCTGATGAATCTGGAAAAGCTGCTTTCAAGTACATTAAAGTTCTCTGTCCCCCCTGCAAAGATGGGCATGATTTAATTAGGCGAAAATAGTGCACTTTGGTTACTTCCTCTGCTGCTGCTTAGGGCAAAAGGAGGAGATTTAGTAAATCTGCAGCATAAACCCTATCCTTGCTTTGAACTGGAGCATGGTTTATATTTGTGAGGAATTTTTAATGCATTTTAATGTATTTTTTCATGTTTTCCTTTTATGTATTGTGTGTGTTCTCTGCAGACTCCCAGGCCTTTAAACATCATTAAACAAAACAACGGTGAGCAGATTATTAGGAGAAGAACCAGAAAGCGCCTTAACCCAGAGGCACTTCAGGCCGAGCAGCTCAGCAAACAGCAGAGGGGTAACAGTGAGGAGCAGGTCAATGGAAGCCCATTAGAGAGGAGGTCAGAAGAGCATTTAACTGAGAGCCACCCGAGAGAAATTCCGCTCCCAAGCCTAAGTAAATACGAAGCCCAGGGTTCATTGACTAAAAGCCATTCTGCTCAGCAGCCAGTCCTGGTCAGCCAAACTCTGGATATTCACAAAAGGATGCAACCTTTGCACATTCAGATTAAAAGTCCTCAGGAAAGTACTGGAGATCCAGGAAACAGTTCCTCTGTGTCTGAAGGGAAAGGAAGCTCTGAGAGAGGCAGTCCCATAGAAAAGTATATGAGACCTGCAAAACACCCAAATTATTCACCACCAGGCAGCCCTATTGAAAAGTACCAGTACCCACTTTTTGGACTTCCCTTTGTACATAACGACTTCCAGAGTGACGCTGATTGGCTGCGGTTCTGGAGTAAATATAAGCTCTCTGTTCCTGGGAATCCGCACTACTTGAGTCATGTGCCTGGCCTACCAAATCCTTGCCAAAACTATGTGCCTTATCCCACCTTCAATCTGCCTCCTCATTTTTCAGCTGTTGGATCAGACAATGACATTCCTCTAGATTTGGCGATCAAGCATTCCAGACCTGGGCCAACTGCAAATGGTGCCTCCAAGGAGAAAAGCAAGGCGCCACCCAATGTCAAAAATGAAGGTCCTTTGAATGTAGTAAAAACAGAGAAAGTTGACAGAAGTACTCAAGATGAGCTTTCGACAAAATGTGTGCACTGCGGCATTGTCTTTCTGGATGAAGTGATGTATGCTTTGCATATGAGTTGCCATGGTGACAGTGGACCTTTCCAGTGCAGCATATGCCAGCATCTTTGCACGGACAAATACGACTTCACAACGCACATCCAGAGGGGCCTGCACAGGAACAATGCACAAGTGGAAAAAAATGGAAAACCTAAAGAGTAAAACCTTAGCACTTAGCACAATTAACTAGAAATAGGGTTTCTTGATGGGAATTCACTAGCTTGTAATGTCTTATGAAGACCTATTAAAAAATACTTCCTAGAGCCTGCCTTATCCAACATGAAATTCCCTTTTTTTTTTTTTTTGTTTTTTTTTTTTTTTTTGCTCTTCTTTCTTTTGATGAGGTTACCAAGATTTACCAGTGAGACAGGTGGTCAGTGAGAAAGAATGTAAGGTGGTAAACAGTCATTTATTTAAAACTTAACGAATCAGACCTTTCTTGACTGATATGTCCTGGGGAAAACGATCCATACAGAGTCCCACCAGGTTACAGCTGTGCTTCTGGAAAAGGAATAAAGCCTATCTAGAATTTGAGAGGATTTACAGTACAGTACAGTTCAGTGCAAAAGCAGTATTGGGTTGGCCACTGGCCCATTTGTTTAAAACCTCACACATTGTGTCCTAAATTTAAAAGTGTCGTGAAATCCTGCACAAATGAGGAGAAAAGGGTGAGGGAAGCAAAACGTGCTCTCGCCGATCCGTCTTCTCTCCTTGACCATGTTTCAGATTTGGACCTAGACATGCGGAACTCTGGTTAGGCCTGGTGAGAGAGCGGCAAGCAGCGTGACAGCTGGGTGGCACGATGACACGGGCCAGCCCTGCCTGTACATACACATGCACACCCTCTTTGATATTATTGTCCTTTAGATGTTCAAATAGTAGTTCTTTCGTTGGCAGTTTAGGTTCATTTTTGTCCAAATGTATTCCTATTTTTTTAAAAGTCCTCGATGCTTACGTAGTAATTTTATTTTAGCCAAATACTTTTCTTGATGACGAACAAGTTTGGATTGTTTCTTTTTTTCTTTTTCTTCTGTATTTTTTTTTCCTCCTGTTTGTCACTCATCTCACTCGGCACATGATGACTAAAGGAATCCCCTCCGTTCAAAAGAGTAGGTGAATGCAAATGTCACACCGAAAGTTTAATATGCTTAGTTAGGAAACATGGTATTGCTCTGCAAGGTAACCTGCTGTATTTATTTATTTTCTTTTGGTTAAATATAATTTCCAAACTTTGTGGTCAGGCAGCGTCTAAGGTTACATTACCACAGACTGACAGTCTATGTACCAATCAATCCCTTCATTAGAGTATGCAGGTTTAGTTAAGTAGCATTAAATAGGATTCTTAGAAGTCTGTCTTCGTAGTACTTTTAATACTTAAAGCTTTGTAAAAACTATCCATGAAGGGAAAGCTTCTCAGCATAACTGCTCAGGGAAATAGGCTACATAACTGAACATTAAATAATTGGTTAAAGGTGCTGTTAGCCGAGCCTCAATGCTTGCTACAAGGATGTATGTACAAGGACTGACTTTAATAATTTGCATTATATTATCCCAACCAGTAGTTTATTTTTTGCCACGGAGATGTAGAAGATATTACAAGCTACTGGATGCACTGTCAGATTAACTTATTTCATTAAAGAAGTTGGGAGAACAAATAGGAAAAAAAAAACTTATTTTTCTAGTAAATATTAATGTATTACATTTCAAATAATGGTGCCTGACATATTGAATAAATATTTTCTACAGTGTACGTATGCAACAAAGATATTCCATCATGCATTAGAGTCAGTTCTGGCTCTGCCTGGCTGTTTACATTTGCAAATGTAGCAAACAAGGTAATGAAGCAACTATTTCTATTGCAGTAGATATCTTTTTGTGTGTATGTGTGTGTGCGTGTGCGTGTGTGTGCATTAAAGTTGTAAACGGTAACATGAAAGTTCTTGATATAATGGTATGGAAAACAAGAAAGAAATGAAAATATTTTTATGCCTACTTAGGAAAAAAAAAGGGTAGCACTATCCATTCCAAGTACTTTTTTTTTTAATTTTTAAGCTCTTAACTCACATTGTTATGCTTAAGACGATAAACATATATCCTCTTTTTATTGCTTTGTCTATGTTTCAGAGGAAACATTTCAGAAATTATTTTGATGAGTGTTGCTGGAATTCGCAGCACTGATGTTTTTATCGCATTCTGTAGTCGCATTTGCACTCCGTGTTTGACTTTAATTTGCAGTCGCTTTGTATCATTTTCGTTTTGTTTGAGTTTTGTTTCTTTCTCACATTGCCAGGTCTCTGTTTCTTTGAAGTTGGACGGCAGGTAGAGTTCAATCAGCTCCTGACTATTGTAGTGAATGATGTTAAAAATCTCTTTCCGATGTTGTGTTGTCCTTTCCGTTCTTCCATTTTTGTTTCTCATGAACAAAGGAAAAAGGAAAAACAAAAAAAAAGAATGAGAGAAAGAAATCAGGATTAAGTCCCGGCTTCAGTCTTGTTAAAGGGCCTATTCTGATCTCACCTGGCGCATAGCTCTGTCACGTAATCCAAGATAAAGAGGCAGAAAGGGGAGCTTGGACATTCAGATGGCTTGATAGAATTTATCTTTCTTTGGGAATTTTGGTGGCTGCTTCACAAAGTAAACTGACAGATCAGAGAGGTGACAGAGGTCTGTTACAGAGAGATGTACCAAATGACAGTAATTGTTTTCCTTATTTAAAAAGATGATACAAATGCAATGTAGCAACCCTCAAGCAACATGATAGTACAATACTTCAATCGGTGGCAAGCAGGTGAACTGGAGTACACAAGACTGAGTAGCCGGTAACACCAGAGGTTTCTTTAACTTGGGCAATACTACAGGTATTACTTTTTGGACAAAACTATTCCTACAGCAGTTTCCCCAGAGTGTCAGATATAAATAGGTTGTTCATTTGTTCGCATGGATGGCTTTGTTTCTCATTCTTTGTTTTTTCTTTCTCAAACAGGCGTAGTAATGAGCATTGGAAAAATACATATCACTTTTTGGGGGGAATATTTATGTTCAGTCTACTCTCAGTAGAATATTCTTTGATAGCATTGGCACGATAGATCTTATTCTATACTCATTTATTATTAATTATTTTATTTTCATTTTTGCTTTCATTAGTATACATATTCTGGTGGAAAAGAAGTCGGGCTTTTTAAAAAAGGATGGAAGTTTATCATAACACTAAAATACTCCTTATTTTTTGATGAAGTTAAAGCCTTTGTTCCATCTTGAGGAATATATTATACAAATGTTTTCTATTTTTTTAAGATTTCAGAATCATTTCGTCTTAAATTGTGAATGATTTTAAATCAGCTGTTTAGGTACTTCACCTTTTTCTTAAGAACGTTCATGATGATTTAGAAATGTTCCCCTCTTGGAGCAGGCTTCCCTTGGTCCTATAGTGAATATTATAAGCCAGCTAAAACTGTACACCACATCAAACCTGTAGGTCCTTTACGATGACTTGTCTATATTCTAAATTGAGCTTTGGCTCAAACTTAAGGCCAGGATCAGTTCATGCATTCTTCCTCTTCTTTTTCTTACTCTTTCCTCATCATCACTCACCCCAATCTACATACAGTTTTTGGGACAGAAAAACCAGGAGGAACCAGCCCAGCTTGGGAGGTGGTGGACTGAGGGGCAGTGCAGGGCGCTAAGCATCCGGCTGAGAGAAGGGTGCAGCTGTCCGGAGTAGGAGGCAAACAGTGAGCCCTCTCCTCTTTCCATGACAGAGTCAAGCTGTTCTTCCAACACTCTGCTTTTGAGATAGTGATGTTCCATTCTGTTCCAAGTCACTCTGTTTTAGTAAAGGTAGATTTTAGGCAACAAGCGTGGGGACTCTTTTCTAAAGTAACATCAATCAGAAGATAAAAAAGCGATTGTCTCGAAAGAGGTCTTTGGTAGCCTGTGGTAGCACATTATGCTTACGATTGCACCTGTGCACATAGTCTGTTACAATCCAATGCAAATACAGCTCCAAAAATACTAAATGTATATCTGTATTTTGAAATGCCTGAGGAAATATGGTTTTAATAAAACGAAGTGTATCAATACTGCTATTCAAATAATGATTAGCCTCCTGCTGTGTGATTGCAAAAGATTACAGAGTGACCTGTCTTGGAACTGCCTGTTGCCTGCCTCATTAGCCAGTGAATATGAACACATTTTTATAGGGGGAAATATCAGCTGTCCAGCATTGGAAATGTGGAGTAAAGAAACTGGTGGTCACACTGTCTCTGTGCTGTATGCAAGTCTTTTGGCGAAAGTTGAGATGCATTCACAGCCACCTGTCTTTAGGTTGAGGGTCATGGCAAAAATAAATTTTAAAAAAAACCAAACATCTCAGAGCATCTTTAGTACGCAGGACACAGAGAAAACTTGAGGAATTCAAGTACAACCTGAATCTGAAAGTAAATGTACTAACCAAAGGCAGATACGGCTAGGCAGATGCTGTGAGCAGACAACTGGTCATAAAAGAAGAGGAAAGGAACCCAGGCATATCTGGTCTTGGAGGGCAGTGTTATTTTTTTCCAAAGACTTGGCAGAGAGGCGTGGCGTTTTTGCATTGCACTCCCCATTGGCTGTCCATTTCTGGTACAGAGTGAATTCACGTGGTCCCTGTAGCAGGTGGTTGGGTAGAAAGCATCCAGTTATTTGCAGTAATGAGAACTTCAGAAGATACCAGGGTAAAAGTGTTTGAGTCAGGGAGGAGGAAAATGTGAACGGGAACAGTAACCCCTGTGGGGACTGGATAATGTATGTTCCTGTGTTCCTCTTGAAAGGAAAAGGAAAGCTCTGAGCTCACTCTGTCCTACACCACACAAAAGCAAGAGTAACTTTTCCCGTGGACCCCGTGCTTGACCTTCGTTAGAGAAAATGGTCCTTCAAGAGCCATGAGTCCCCACCTGCATCCTGGTTTTGCCCCTGGTTGTTTCTTTAATACATGAACTGCAGCAAATCACCTTTTCTTTTTGTGCCTCAGGTTCCTCAACTATAAAGTGGAAAAATATATTAATAATAATATTAATAATAATAATAATAATGGTAATGTAGTACTCGTTTGTAAAGCACTTTGAGATCCTTGATTGGAAGGCACCATAGGAGTGTCAAGTATTATGTGGCCAAGGGGGTTATTTAAATTTAGTTCCCAAAGGCCAAGAAAGTTTGGGGTCATTTTTGTTAAAGGTGAGCTGTAAATATTATAACTAGACAGCCTGTAGTGTTGACTATGAAACTGTTACAAGGCTGATAAAACCATAGTTTATTAATGGCTACCAACAAGGCAAATGTCACAATAACAAATGCCAAATCCTTTAGGGTGTACTATTTGACGACAACCTTGATAATCTAGGGGGAGGGGCGGACTGGGAAACATTTCCAAAAGCCAGTGTACAATTAACTTACAGCAATATTCACCAGCAGAAAAACGTCTTTCATATGGAATGATTTCATGTTGCTAAGAAAAAGAATTCAATTTGTAGTCCTGATTTGAACATTAGAATGTTGGCTATAATAGTTCTGTTCTTACAACACATGGAATTTTTTGTTTTATTTTGTTTTCATAGTGCATGTTCATTTCTACTCACAAACATGTTCTTGGTGTATTTCTTATGCAAACAATCTGCAGGCAGCAAAGATGTCTGTTACATCTAAACTTGAATAATAAAGTTTTACCACCAGTTACACACAATGGCGTTGGTATGGTTTATACGGATTCACTTTCATTCATTCATGTAGCAATAGGAAATACAAACCATTGTAACAAATAGACAGGTTTTGATGAATTAACATGGGAGATGAAATCACTTTTTAAAAATATTACTAAGACTGATAATGCCTGGATTCTCTCAACCTGTTTCATTTTTGTTTTGCTCCCCCCCCCTTAACCAACCAATCTCTTATTGATAGATTTTGTGTAAAAAAATTATACTCATTTCTTTAGGAAGATTAACAATAAAAATTGTGTTTATTACAAAAATAATTATTGAGTATCAAATATTGACTTTGGAATACTGGGTAGGGACTATGGTATGGAAAAACTGTGATTCCATTCAGTATATACACATGAATACAACACAAGTTTGGGGTGAATCATCTCCAGTAGTGTTAATATAGTAAATACTTTGTTGGATTAAAATGGAATTAGAGCAGCTCATCCTGCAGAAGGTTTTAGAAGGGGGCAAGCAGGTGAGATCCAAATAGGGAAAGAACATGGTAACATTCATGGACTGTATTTAATCAGAAGGGAAATCACCAAAGAACTGGACATAAGGTATGTAAATAAATACATCAGGTGCTGTGCATTGAGGAGTTTCAAAACAGTACCCCTCCGCCTCACACAACCTTCATTTACCATTCTGGTGAATCGAAATGGATGAGCAAACCCTTGTATGTACCTTCTTCCTCGTTCTTTCACACATTTTGAAACCGGTGTGAAGATTCTTGGAGGCTTTCATAAGGGACCAAGTTCATTCCACAGCCAGAGGCAAGAGTATGGAGGTAAGAGCTTAGTAATGACAATACAATTTTTTTCTTCCTTATAGAGAACAACTATCTTCCATTAGAGACTTCTTTTCAGATGAAGTGGAACACACCATGTTCTCACCCAAGACTGCCAGAATCCCAGGAATGGGGCAGCCGTGGCCATGAGCTGGGTAGTGTTGCTTGCACAGAGCGGGGCTGGCTGGGCAGCAGACACGGTCTCTCACCCACAGCCCCCCGCCTCAGGGAGAGTAGGCAGGTGGGAGAGGACACCCCTGGCCAGAGCTTGCAGGTGGAGACGCAAATGGAGAGCTCCCCCAGCCCATCTCCAACTGTGAGGTGGACTTCACGCCCTTCCAACAGTGTCTCCAAAGGGGAGAGCTGATGTGAGTTCCTAGACTTTCAGTTTTCAAGAAGAATTAGACAAAGGAAACTGTATGTGAAGGGTGCTTTTTAAAATGCCAGTAGCTGAGTGCTGTTCAGCATAAATTCCACCACCAGTTTGCCACGGTGGAGTCTTGGAGCACGAACAGTCGTGAACTCTGGTTACTGATAGAGCGGAAACCGGGCAGAGTTCTGGGGTTTGCTGAGGCTCTGCTTGGGTTTTGTGCCCAGGCCAACACATCTTCAGCTTTACCAGGAAACCCAGGGAGCTGGCTTGCGTCACCAGCTGGATCCAGTTAAGAGATTCATCTGAAATTGAAGACATTGGAGCAAAAGAGAAGCATCCTGTGTCTAAGCACGCTGCAAATTGCTTCCTACTTTTGATCTCTATTATCCCAACTCTCCATATATGTGTCTGTGTGTGTGTGTGCGTGTGTGTGCGTGATGCTGAAGATGTTACCAAATAATCCTGAGTTCCTCCATGTCATTTTAGGGTGAGAATAGGGGTAAAAAGGCAAAGTCTTATCAGTAAATGGGGAAGAAGTGACCTTGTTTCATCATACAAATGAAATCCAAAATTTTTAAACATCATAAGTAGAGGGAAATCTTTATGATTTGACATTTCTCTGAGATAGTCAAGATACACGCAATCTGAAGATCATCTTTTGTAAATGTTACAGTATTTACAGAGGGTAAAAATTTTATTAGGCCACACATTCTACCATTTTCTTGCTTAATAACAATGACACAATTAGGAAATATTAATCTTTTGTTCAGATAAACAATCCTGAGCTAGTAAAAAATATATATATAGTATAGTAATATGTATATATTTGAAAGTGTTTGAATTTTTCTATGGAAGGCTTAAGTAAAATGTGTCTCAGGGCATCATTAATTTTAGTAAATGGAGAATGTTATTTCTCATTTTCTTAATCATCTTTTCTCAGAAACACAGCTTACACAGGGGCATGCTAATGAAACTCCAGGAAGTATTCTGTTTCTCCAAACACAATCTCACGGATTCCTGAAGGTGCACCCCTAGAAATTCAGATTTCTGCTATTTTTCTTGTGGTTGACTCCTGAGTGACATGATTTGTGTTTGTTGGATATTGACTCTGGTCTCAGGACTTCGAAAGGGCAACAGAAGCTGGTTAAATTTTTGTGCCTGTTCTTAATGCTCCCATTGATGGGTAATTAAATTATAGGGCTCCTTTGCTATAAATCTCTTTTTTAATTTTGGGCTTTCTGAAGCTTCAGTTATTGCATTTTATATCAGCATGCATTTCAGCTGTCTTTTTTCCCTTCACTAAAGTTTTTGTTTTTTGTTTTTTGTTTTTAAATGAGGTTTCTCGGTAAAATATAGATACACACGACGATCACATTCATTATGGGGAATTTGTACCTGTACATGATGTATCTTGAGTCCTCTTTTTTCCTCATTCCCCTCCCCTCTCTCCAACTCCTTCCCCTCCTTATTTATTTATTTATTTTGGTACAGGAATCGAACTGAAGACCTCGCGCTTGCCAGGCAGGTGCTTAGCCGCTGAGCTAAGTCCCTGGCCCCCTCCTTAGCTATTAAAACTTTCTTTCCATTTTTTTCTTCTTTTCTCATTTTTTCTCTTCCTTTACCTTTACCTCTTCCTTCCTTTACCTCTCGCCCCTCCCTAGGTCCCCCCACCCTTTTTTAACCATTTCTTCCTACTTCACAATAGCTGTTACACATTTTGATCTTTATTTACACTCTTAGTTTCTCACATCAGAGAGACAATGCAATATTTACAAGTATGTCCAATTTATTTTTCTTAAGAGTTTGGTCTCAAGGTCTGTCCTGTTAGCTATCTCAAGTTTATCCTCAATCAAATATCTCAAGTTTATCCTTGACAAAAATGTTTACCATTACTTGGGCACAACTTTATTAAAAATTTGGGGGAAAGTGTTCCTATTTTTGCGATCATCTGTGTTAGTCTTTGGTATTTGATGACAATTGCGGTGTCCCAGGAAACACTGAAGGAGCATTTCTTTCCCTAGGTTACTAATAAAGGAAAAATCAAAAGCCTAAGTCAAGCAGAGCTCAAGGTGTTGAGCATGAAATTGCTTTACTTTTTCTAGCCATGCATTGCTCCTTAAATTATAACACAGAAATTACACTTCTGTACACATGCAAACATTAAATTAAGACAAGTCGTCACACAGCCAATGACAACTGCTTACCATAATTGAATAACATAATTGGAGTAGTCTGCTTGGTATTTTCACATGACTGACTTATGATATCCACTGAGACTTCAGCATGCTCACGTTCAATGGAAAGTCTTTTTATTTTTTAAATTTTATTTCTGAATTGGCACCAGCTAATCCTGAGTTCCCTGACTGTCTCATATTAAAAGACTGCATTTAAGCTTTAATTTTGCATAAAGTTGTCCACAACAAAAGTACAGAGAAGCATTTCTCACATGACACTTTCCTGCCCCGGGCAATTTCATTCATTTCCAAATGCTGTTACCTTAATAATATCTTACTGTTCAAAAGGAAATGGATTGTCTTTTGCTTTTGAAGATTTGGACTTTTGGTGAAGGACTGCTTTCTAGGGCATTTTAAACATTATTTCATTAAAGTTTGGTACAAATACAACTTCCATGAGTGTGTCCCTTAATTCAAATCAGAGACTTCAACACCCTCATAAACAGGAAGTAGGTAATCACGTAAGTAACCAAGTTGAAAGAGAAACACAAAATTCTAGCCAGGCCTGCCCCTTAACATCTGCTTCCCGGGGTTCCACTGACAGGAGAAAGTTCCTCCTCCATCTCGCCCCACTGCCAACCAAGTTAACCCCAAAGCAAACCCAAGTGCTTATACATAAGAGCTGTTCTTTCCAAGAAAAATGACCAATGTGTAACTCTCCAAATAAACAGTTGAGAATGCTAATTACATAGAAATATATTCTTGAATATTTCTTAATGGTATAAACACCCAGGAAAATACTATTGACAACTGGTATCCACCATTGTGTACACTGCTGGAAAATGAGTCATTTTAAGATAGGCTAAGTAAATATAAACCAAAAATTTATAAGTATTAATTCATTGGATTATGTTTTAAATGTCTTTGGCCCAGGGCAAGACAATAAAAATAGGAAAGAGGCCACAATTTTGTAAGTTGTTTTAACATGGTAACTTCTATTTTTAAAACAGTGAATTCCTGGAAGTTTTACAAATATATATATATATATATATATATATATATATATATGTATAGTGTGTGTGTGCGCGCGCACACACTGAACACTTAATAATGAACATTTGGAATCCAATTAGCTATCAAAAGGCTTTTATTTTCTTTTTTAAAACTACAGTTTCTAAAAACCTTTGTGAATGGGTACTATATATAAGTAGAAATAAATATATAGTGAACTTTGCATTTTGGCAAGTCAGTTCACATGCAATTAGTCATCTTACCAAATGTGCAGAGTTTATGAAAGCAGGCAAGTCTATACTCTTGTTATCTCAAGCTGAAGAAGTCCGGGCTTGTTTTCTCAGAGACCCTATACATGCTTCCACACTCAAGATTGCACTCAGAGCTTTGTGGACCCATACTAATCTTCTGTTTCCCAAGAGGACTGCACCACTCTGGCCTTATCCATAAATATTCCTGGAAATTCTGTGGGTCGCAGGTAACATCTTTACATAGGGACCCTTGTGTATGGTATACTATCATAATGGATGGCAAATACAACAGCTAGATCATTATGTGATTTTTAGATTGTCAAAGCAACTCTCAAACATAATTCTCATATTAACACCACAGTGTAGTTTTCAGACAGTGGATGGACACACAAAACATTATTAATGTGAAAGTAAGCAATATGTCAGAACAGGTTCCAAAGTACATGTGTGGGGTTACGGGTGCGGGGCAGCGCCACAGCAACATCCCACGTGGGTGAGGTCCTGACTTCAACCCCTGGTGCAGAAAGAAAGAGACAGAGACAAGGGAAGGGTGCGAGGGAGAGAGGGAGGGGGGAAAGGCGAGCAGGAGAGAAAAGCCAAAATTAAATTGGATGCAGCACAGGTCATAGTTCTCTGGGCAACAGTGGTCATTAGCTTTTTGGGTTATCTTCAT